AAAGGGGATGATTATCCTAATCCTATAATGATTAGGATAACTACAACATATGGATAAATACAAGGGAGGATAATGACAAGTCTTGGCCGCCTGGTATGGATAAGGATAAGGTGCTTGTCGCCTGGTCTTGGACTGAAGTGAGACTGATGTGGTCTGGTCCATTTCCGGATATGTCCCAACCATCATTTCTCAACAGTTATTGATTTATGGTGACTAATAATCTTATTAATGTAATTAGTAAGCGTATGATTAAGTATTAAAATATTAAATGGAAAAGAAAAAGATAAAGATAAAGAAGAGATAGATAGATCGATGCGGTTTCTAATAGTCACATGGGCACGTGATTGTAGGATGGAATCATATGAGTGCGAACGCTGCCGGCCAAAGTCAAATAGATTCGGTTTCCATGTATGAAGTTTTAGTTATGGGAAGCTAATCCTTAACCTGAACGTACCCTTTTGTTTGAAATCCACTTTCTTGTGCTTTTTAGATCCTTTTATATCTACTTCTCTGCTACTAGTATTAGACAACCGTTTATTGTCATTTGTCAATGACAATAAATAATAAACTACACTGATTATACAAACAACATAATCTTCTATAAAAAGTTAACTTCATAATTAAAATGGCCCAGATCGTTAATTAAATTAGGTTGGCTGCTATTATTTCTTTTCTTTTTTTGCAGTAACTTAAGAAAAAGAAAGCAATAACAGCTTAATAGTCTTAAAACAATATCATAAACAAACAAGCCAATTGTGTTCCAAAAAAAAAACAAGCCAAACCGGCAACAAACATAAGTTTTTAAATCAACCAAAAGCATGAAAAATTTGAGTATGATTCACTAGAGAATCATCAGAGAATAGTCTTCTCCCTCAAAACCTTATTTGAAATAAAAGAAATAGAACCAAATAGTTTGAGAACAGTGAAACAGCTCTCACTGATCATCATGGCACTTAAGCATGGCTTTAACCCTTTTAATAGTGGAGCTAATCAAGGTATCGACTGTGGTGGTCCATTCATCCATTTGGAATTCTCCAGAGATAGTCGGACCAGTGACAAGGATCTGGAAAGCCACCGTGAGGAGCGTCTTACAATTGTCACGGGCACCGTCTAGCTCAGCGGTTGCGGAGGGACGGCCGTCACGGGAGGATTGGAATGGCGGAAGGGTTGACATTGCCTGAAACGGCAGCGTTTGCAGTGCTTATGTCCACTGGAGCGTAGACCACCATACCTCCTAATGCATCTATGAAGCTGTCTTGTATTATCATCAAGTCATCACTCTCCGCTACACTTGAAGGCTAGTTAACATATACAGATAAACTTACATTAGTTATCAGGTCAAAAGAATCAAAGTTTCTGACAAATACATCATCAAACTGTAATGTAAATACTTCCATGAAAATATAGACGTGGACATGATGAAAAGATAGAAAACTTATTATGGAGATGATAAACTACTTGCGATTGATGACAAATAAAATGTGAAAATATGAACATATTTTGTTGTTTTTGCACTTTCTACATAACATCTCTATTGAAAATGTTACATCTAAAGGTATATCCTGTAAAAACAATAAGAAAGTATGAGTAATATACCTGGAGGATATTCACACAATTCTTATCGTCTGTTCCAGTGACAAAGCGAGCGACCTCAGACTGGACTCTTGATATATTGTGTTTTTGACACAGTATAAGTGTTCTTTACTAATGGTTAACGGTTTTATCGAGTCTTTCTAGTCATTTTAAGTCATTACAAGTTGGAGAGTCCTGTAGATAAGAAAAATGATCGTGTGAAACGAAAGGAGAGGAAAAGAACCTGACTTGAAGGTTTTCTCAGCTAAACAGCCGGGCAGGATGTTCTCGCATAAGCAGAGTAGCTTGACAGACTGTTCCCCGACGTTCCACGAAATAAAGATTCTATTTCGGGATTTTTCCTAGTTTTCCCTATTTTTCTTTTTTGCCACCTGTGGCTTTTATATATATTCTCTTTTAGTTTTCTTAGGTTTTTTACCTGAGTTTTTACGCAAGAAAGACTTGAGAGCTTTGATTTAAGCGATTGCTACTTGTAAGGGAGAAAGCCTTCATCTATCTCCTTGAGAAGATCATTCTGAACCCTCTTATTTCTTATCTATATTACACGCAGTATTATTTAGAAATCATGCTCTGTTCTTGTGTTATGACTACTGAGTAGTCACCTAGTTAGTTTAGGGTTCGTAAGGTTGGTTTCGTGAGCTGAGCTTTGATAAGTTAACCTAAGATTGTCTACGTTCACATTCTTGTCTTAATGCTTGCACCAATTTGATCGCTTGATGCATGAACTAGGATTGATTGATTTAGCTAACCGTTGATTGATAATCTGATACAAATTGAACGAGCTTAACATCCTTAGTCAGCGAGAGTAGATACTAGGGTGTTCTGTGAACTTATCGGACCTGATCTCTAAGGCTTGCTGTCGTGACTTGATCCAAACGATAGTTTAGGTATCAAGGCAGACTTGCAAAGGCAATCAACACCACGACAGTGGGTTGATTCGAACTGAGTGATCCGAGTTTAGACTAGCATAAATCAAACTTGAATAGTAGCTTGGCTTGCGAATTCCATTCCCGTTAGGAAACCCTAGACTAGCGCTTTTAAACCTATTGAAAACAACTCCGTTTGTTACTTGCTTTTTAAGTTATTTACTTTACTTCAAAAACCCCTTTTGTTTTAGCTATATTTTGATCTCATAAAGATAAAGTGTAGACTGGTCCTCTGGAATTGAATCTAAACATATTACAACACTGTTAACTTGACAGAAGACAAAGATCCAATTTTAGTGTATCAAATTTCAGATAGTAAATGGGTTAGTCCAATTCATGTAGTTCCTAAGAAAGGGGGGGGGATCACTGTAGTAGCTAATGAAAATAATGAATTAATACCTACTAGGACTGTAACAGGACATCGAATGTGTATTGATTTCCGGAAGTTAAATGCGGCTACTCGCAAGGATCACTTTCCCTTGCCCTTCATTGATCAGATTCTTGAACGATTGGCTAACCACCCACATTAATGCTTTTTAGATGGTTATTCAGGTTTCTTTCAGATTCCTATCCATCCAGACGATCAGGAGAAGACGACATTTACATGTCCCTATGGAACATTCGTCTACAAGAGAATGCCGTTTGGACTGTGCAACGCCCCTGCAACTTTCCAGAGATGCATGATGTCGATTTTCACTGACCTTATCGAAGACATTATGGAAGTTTTCATGGATGACTTCAGTGTGTATGGAAACTCGTTTTTTGTTTGTTTGTCTAATTTGTGCAGGGTGCTCCAGCGATGTCAAGACAAGCATCTGGTGTTTAATTGGGAAAAATGCCACTTTATGGTGCGTGATGGGATCGTGCTCGGCCACAAGATTTCAGAAAAAGGAATTGAGGTAGATGAGGCTAAGATCGAAGTTATGATGAGCCTACAGCCTCCGAACTCAGTCAAAGAAATCAGGAGTTTTCTCGGACATGCCGATTTCTACAGGCGGTTCATTAAAGACTTCTCCAAGATCGCACAACCTCTCACTAGCCTGCTCTGCAAGGAAACCAAGTTTGAGTTCGATAGCTTTTCATACAATCAAGGGAGCCTTAGTGATTGCACCCATTGTGCAACCACCAGACTGGGAGCTACCTTTTGAAATCATGACCGATGCAAGCAATTTTGCAGTCGGAGCAGTGCTGGGCCAGAGAAAGGATAAGAAGCTCCACGTGATCTACTATGCCAGCAGAACATTCTATGAAGCTCAATGCCGCTATGCAACTACAGAGAAGGAACTTCTGGCTATCATTTTTGCCTTTGAAAAGTTTCGGTCTTATCTGGTGGTGTCCAAGGTAATTATCCACACAGACCATGCCGCGTTGAGATACCTACTTACAAAGAAGGATGTGAAACCTAGATTGCTCTGATGGATGCTTCTACTCCAAGAATTTGACTTCGAGATCAAAGACAAAAAAAGGATAGAGAACGGCGTAGCAGATCACCTTTCACGGATGAAGATTGATGAAAATACAGCTCTCGATGATAGTTTACCAGTGGAGCATGTTTACTCGGTCAGCATGGCATACACGACGGAGCAACCGCTCCGACAAACGAAGAACTCGCTCCATCCAGCCCGTTCATCTGCGTCGGAACAACTAGTCTGCGCTATCAACAAACAACATCCCTATCTTCCATGGTTTGCTGAGATTGCTAACTACCTGGCTGCAGAGAAGGAACCTGTGAAGTTTACTGGTAATGACAAGAGGACGTTTCTAAGGAGCGCCAGACACTATTTTTGGGATGAACCATACTTGTACCACAATTGCAAGGATGGGGTCTTCCGATGATGTGTGTCAGAAGCCGAGATCCCATGAATCCTTTTTCATCGTCACGGTTCTTCCTATGCAGGGCATTTTGTAACTTTCAAGACAGTCTTAATGATTCTCCAAGCCGGTTTCTGGTGGCCTACAATGTTCCAGGATGCTCACGCTTACATCTCCAGATGCGACTCATGCTAGCGACAAGGGAACATAAGCAAGAGTAATGAGATGCCTCAGAATTTCATCTTGGAGATTGAGATATTCGATTGTTGGAGGATCGTTTTCATGGGACCATTCCCGAAATCCTTTAACAACGAATACATAATGTTGCAGTTGATTACGTCTCCAAGTGGGTGGAAGCTTTGGCTAGTCCCACAAATGACGCGAAGGTAGTAATTAAGATGTTCAAATCTATTATCTTCCCGAGATTTAGAGTGCCGCATGTGGTCATAAGTGATGGAGGTAACCACTTCATCAATAAGATTTTTGCCACTCTTTTAAAGAAGAATGGAGTAAAACACAAAATTGCTACTCCATACCATCCTCAGACCAGTGGCCAGGTGGAAGTGTCAAACAAGGAAATCAAGAACATCTTGCAGAAAACAGTCAATACAAATCGCAAGGACTGGTCGCTCAAGTTAGACGACGCGCTCTAGGCATACATAACAGCTTACAAGACACCAATAGGGACCACTCCTTACAATTTAGTGTATGGTAAGGCATGTCACCTTCCAGTAGAATTGGAGGACAAAGCTGCGTGGGCTGTGAAATTGCTTAACTTCGACATCAAACCAGCAGCAGAACGACGATCCATGCAAATCCATGAGCTGGAAGAATTGAGAAATCTCGCCTATGAAAGCTCAAAGATCTACAAAGAGCGTACAAAGGCCTACCATGATAAGCGAATCATCAGAAGGGACTTCAAACCAAAAGACCAGGTGCTCCTTTTCAATTCCAAATTGAAACTGTTCCTTGGGAAATTACGGTCAAAATGGTCAGGTTCGTTCACCATTAAGGAGGTTTGCCCCTATGGAGCTATTGTGTTATTGGACACAAAAGGTGAAGAATTTGTTGTCAATGGTCAACGTCTCAAACCATATCTTGCTGAGACAACAATCGCAGAAGGTGAAGAAATTCCCCTCGGCGATCCTGCTCTAGCCTGACAAGCTAGCACAGTCAAGCTAATGACTTCAATCAAGCGCTTGGTTGGAGGCAACCCACTGGTAAGTGTACATATTTCATTTTCAGTCATTTGGTTTTGGCTTTCTTTTATGTTTTTGCAGAATAAAAATAAGAAAACCCCGAGTTACTTCAAGAGTACTGCTGTTCCACTCTCGGAGCAGCTGTTCCGCTCAGGTAAGTCTCACGGGAACCAAAAAATAATAATAAGAAAATTAAAAAAAAACTAATAATAATAATAAGTGAAGGGGGAGTGGAGGCGAAAACCCTAATTTTTAGGGAGTGACCCACGACTTATGTTCTATTTAAGAACCATCTTCTCTTTTCCCCATCACTTTCCCCTCCGCCTCCTTTCTCCTTTGCCACCAAGAACCCTAAAAATTATCTTCAAACTTTTCATCACTTTTAAGATTTTCGGTTCTTGCTCGTGGGAATTACTGTTCTCTTTGAGATTTTTGCAAGATTATCTCACCACCATTCGAACGGTAAGAGGCGAAATCACTATGTGATTCTCGGCCACAATCAACTCTCATACTCCTTTTGTACTTCGATAGATCCATTTTAGGGTGTTTACCATGATAAAATCGACCACTCATCTTGCTATTAGGATTGTTTAAGGATTATGAGTAGCGATTGGTTGAAACGTTTAGAATTCTCGGATAGTTAG